AAAAATATGTGTGCATGGTTAAAAGAAATTCTTAACTGCGCATGCTTATTTTCTCATAGTGCAGAACTAAAAAAAAAAAAAAACATTTCCCCAACGCATCACAGGATCACTTTTTTTCGAGTATTCTCGTGTCACATGCGTGCTTTCTCGGGCTTTCGGTGTGACCCTTATATATAAAAAAAAAAAAATACATGTATCATCATGAAATTAGAGTTTCAGTCATCCTAAATGGTAGAAACATCATCAACATTGGTACATGGAATGTCAGAACACTCGGAAAGTTGGATAACATCAAGATGGAATTGAAGAGAATGAACATCAACATATTAGGAATTGGTGAAATGCGATGGCCAGGAGCAGGGGACAATTATTCAGATCAGTACATAATTATTTACTCGGGTGGGAAGGAATATAGTAAGGGAGTTGGTATTATTTTGAATCCAAGGAACTCAAAAACTGTGAAAGTATTTTGGACAATATCAGATAGAGTACTATTAGTAAAACTTCGCGGCAGACCGCTTGACATCAACTTAGTACATATTTATGCCCCAACAGCAGATAGTTCAGAGGAAGATATTGACGCATTTTATGACGAGTTGGACATGGCTGTTGATCAATGCAAAAATTGTGAAGTAACAATGGCACTTGGAGATTTCAACGCGAAAATAGGAAGTTAAAAGGTGTAAGGAAAAACGGGTGGCTATGGCTTAGGAGAAAATAATGTGAGAGGTGACAGATTAATAGCATGGGCTGAGTCGCGCAGCAAGATAAGAGGTAACACCTGGTTTAAACACTATCCTCGAAGATTGTGGTTTTGGAAAAGTCCTAGTGATAATGTCCGTAATCAGATTGATTATATTTTGATTTCAAGAAGATGCAGTAGCAGCTTAGTTGGAGCAAAAACTAGACCAGGAGCAGACTGCTTTAGTGACCATGTTCCAGTTGTAGGAAACATTAGAATAAAACTAAAGAACATTAGAAAAAACACCACAGAACATCAAGTTAAATGTAGGAATTCTTATACGGATAAAGAAATTAAGGACCAGTATAATGTCACTGTACAAAACCGGTATACCGCAATGGAAATTATACAGACTATTGTTGAACAGTGGGATATGTTGCGTGTGTCTAAAGAGACAATCCCACCAACCCATAGAGTTGCAAAAAAGAAATGGATGTCAACCGAAATTCTGCAGTTGATGGATGAAAGAAGGAAGAACAAGAATGATAAAGAAGAATACTCGAGAATACAAACAGAAATAGTGAACAAATGCAAAGTGGCTAAAGAAGCCGGGCTAAATCAAATGTGTACAGAGATTGGGGAAAACAACAGGAAAGACTCACATTCCATGTACCAACAAATTAATATGTTAACAGGAAAGATGACACGAAACAGCACTGGATGTTTGAAATCAAAAGATGGTGACTTAAAAATGGGACATAGTAATAAAATTAACAGATGGACAGAGTATATAGGGGAATTGTATGATGATAATAGACCAGATGTAGAACTGCAGACCAACAATGATGGTCCACCAATAATGACTAGCAGAAGTTGAGGATGCAATACGTCATATGAAGAAAGGAAAAGCACCCGGGCCAGACAACATCTCACTGGAAGAAATCGAAGCACTGGGAGATTTTGGAATTGAAATGATAATTAACACTTTTAAATGATATTTATAATAGTGGGTATATTCCAAATGACCTTTTAAAATCCATATTTAAAGCTCTGCCTGAAGAAACCAGGCGTTATAAAATGTGAAGACCATCGCACAATAGGTCTTATGAGTCACATAACTAAAATTTTAGTGATAATAATTATGAGAAGAATAAGAAACAAAATTAAACCAGAAATCAGCGATGAACAATGTGGATTTGTAGAAGGAAAAGGTACAAACAATGCCATATACATCCTAAGGACATTGTCAGAAAGAGCTATAGATGTAAAGATTTATTTGTACATATGCTTCATGGACTATACAAAAGCATTAGACTGTGTGAGGTCTGAAGAAGTAATCAAACTGTTAGAAAAATTAAACATTGATGGGAAAGATCTACGAATAATAAAGAATATGTATTGGCAGCAAACAGCAGCTATAAGAATTAAAAAATGTGCATTTCAAAGCATAAAGAGGGGCGTACGACAAGGATGTGTACTGTCACCTGATTTGTTTTCAATATACAGTGAATATATAATGAGATCTTTAATTAGTATGCCCGGAATTGTGGTTGGTGGGCACAATATAAACAATTTACCTTATGCTGATGACACAGTCTTGATAGCAAAAAGTCAGAAAGAACTACAGGAAATGATAGACATTGTGGTGTTAGAAAGTGGAAGAATGGGCCTCAGTTTGAATAATGGGAAGACAGAAGTAATGGTGGTATCAAAGAAACAAATTATTCCGAAGTGTGTAATAAAAGTTGAGGGTGTTATTTTAGGACAAGTACAGAAATGTAAGTATCTGGGCACATGGATAACATCAGATCGAAGATGCATAACTGAGATAAAAAACAGAATAGGACAGGCAAAAACTGCATTTTATAAAATGAAAAAACATCTTGTGCAATCCATCCTTGTCATTGAGAGTTAGAAAAAGAATTCTGCTTGCTACATACATATGGCTGTTAATACTGTACAATCGGTAGGCAGGCCAAACAATTTCTAGAGGCAACAGAGATGTGGTTTTACAGAAGAATGCTTAGAATACCTTGTACATCCAAAAAGAGCAACCAAGAGGTTTTGAAAGAGGCGGGAGCCCGAAGAAAACTTATAACAGACATCAGAGGGAGACAGTCATCATTTTTCGGCCATGTTATGAGAAGAGGGAAAATAGAACATGTTGTGACCATTGGAAAGATCTGTGGAAGGAGAGATAGAGGAAGACAACGAGAGAAGATGCTTGACAGTCTTGTTGCATGGCATGGAGGTGTGTCAGCACACGAACTAATACATGCTGCAGGAAATCGCAGATTATGGAGAGGCATGATCACCCACGCCAGTCGGCAAGGCACCTGATGATGATGATGATGATGAGTCATCCTTCCGGCTGCATAGCAAATAGGTCATCCCCATAATTGCTCGGTTCCTGTGCCAAAGAAACACATTACAAATTCTAGTAATTGTCACATATAAAATATCAAACAGTGGTCTAGATAGACACCCCCCCCCCCACCCCCCAGATGCGCGAATACCATCAGTCTGTCACTAGAAATACTTTTTATAGATGTTGGAAGCTGCAGTCTCGACAAGCCAGCATACGCATTATCCGAAAAGTCACACACAGTTTGTTGGCAAATAGCAGCTCTGAATTTTCATAATAAGCGATTTGCACGACACTTACCTGGGATAGTAAACATTCCCATATTCACTGCTCACGACACCCAGTAGCTCACCAACAGTGCCGGATTTGGCCTTTACCTCTATTGTTGCCCATTCCATTTGCCCTTTGGGGTTCAACCCTCAATCTTTCACTGTATTACTGAGGATAAACATAATCCCACTTCGCGATGGTGAGATTCGTTTAAACAAGAGATACTCTGAGACATTAAGAATCTGGTATCGCTTATTTTTTCTGTATTAGGACCTCAAAAGTTACATGCAGTAAATTGTCGATTAACCTTCATCGTCTGGACCAGAACAGTGACGGAAAAACCAAAGACAGATAATAGAAATCTCTTAACGCTTATTGCAGTAACATCATTACACTGCGGGCTTAAGTGGTAACTGAAAATAAAATCTGTTGGGTTGACTTATACACACATAATGTATGTAATTGTACACAACTGATTATAGCCCTGGACACTGTCATACTAAATAGGGCTGAAATTCCCAGCATCAATACGATCTTGATGCAGTGAGAGATTCGATGGGCAGGTCTTCTGTGGTGAGTTACACTAAGGTGGACGGTCATATTGTTCGAATGCCTGACCATAGGCTCCCAAAAATAATCTTCTATGGTGAGGTACACGAAGGTAGACGGTAAGATTGTTCGGATGACTGAACATAGGCTCCCAAAAATAATCTTCTATGGTGAGGTACACGAAGGTAGACGGTCTCATAGTGGCCAAGAAAAAACATACACTTCAAGGACATACTAAAGGCTTCACCGAAAAGCATAAACCCTTACACCTGGGAAGCTGAAGACCGGACTTTATTGCGCACATATATCCGAAATGGTCCGACGATCTGCGCGGCATTAAGACCAAGAGCAGCTGAACAGAAAAGACAGGCCAAAAGAACCCGCCAAACAGGCCTTGTATCTATACTTTGCCCTGCCCCTTACTGTCCTAGACTCTTCCGAGCACGTATTGGACTTGTAAGTCACCTCGTGACTCAAAAACATTCAATTCGTAACCGATGAAAGAAAAATTGGTTCTCAAAACATTGTGATAAGCAAACAACTAACAGCTAACTCCACAAAAACCAACTATATAAACTTCATAATAAGAGTAGTAATGTACATAAATGTACTGTGACACTACAAGCCTACGTTACGTTATAATACGCTCGTAATGTCTTATCCTTTTGCGTCTTGGACGCTTGACTTTTTGCTCTGCGAAGTTCAGTATCTTACGCAGAAATATTGCATTTGACTCCTCCTGCATTTCAAACCAGTCTATGCACGTGTTAGCATTGTTTTTTTTGCCTCTGAATGGATGATAGTTGTAGGGTTTGGTTAAAGACTAACTATTTATAGTCGTGGACATTTTTAAAGGTGTCTGTGGACATTATGCAAACAATGACAGATAACAAAATCTAACGGTTATTGATGTTTTGCTGTACTATAAAATGATAGAATAACAGGGTTAGAATAAGATAATGCCCACTAGAGCGGGGACAAAAATGCAGTCTGCTCAGTGTGTCCAAATGTTTGTATCTACAACATTCACTTTCTGCATGCATTCCAACAGGGTCCAGACAACAACTGCTGTTTGTGTTGAAGCAGAACGGATCGATAATCTCCTGCCAAAAAGCTCGCTATTTGACTGGCGAGGTCAGCCAGCTGGATGTGTACTGTCCCAGTGTCGAGGTTGTTGACGAGCTGATTATCGCAGGAGAAGGAGTCCCCTACCTGTGCTCTGTTTACATCAGTGGCGGTAGGATGCTGTTGGTTTTCTGATCTGTTAGTCTCGCGTTTATTGATCTCCTTCTATCCCTATTACCTTTCTGCGCACTGCAAAACATTTTTATCCCACTGCCAACATTATTACCAACACCATCATCACCCTCATTACGTGTGGTATGTATTTTGGCAATAAAAAAGAAATTAAAATTGACAATAGAAATATTACATGGAACGGCGCTAGCCTTTCACTCTGATTTCAAATGCATGTTAGTCTGCGATCCTCCAGGTTTAATAGTGGAGCTACAATGTTAGTCGGAGTCGCCGTGGCCGAGCAGCTAGACGATTGCCGCTGATTGGAAGGTCGTGGGTTCTGTTCCTGGCAGAGCCAGACTTATTAAAATAAAATGACCTTGGCTCCCAGGTTTACCCAGCCTTGAGTGGGTACCGGGTGCAGTCACGGAAAGTAAAGGCGTCCGGCGTGATGCTGACCATATCACCCATCTTGTGTTGATTGGTCTATACAAGTACAGTGGAACCCCGCTTAACGAGCATAATTCGTTCCAGAATCATACTCGTTAAGCGAAACACTCGTTATGCGAAACAATTTTTCTCATTTAAATTAATGTAAAATCCATGTCGAAAAAACAATACTCACACAATGCTATGTATAACGTTTTTTCAAAGAAAATTATGTACATATTGTTAAGGAGAGTGAATCGTCTTCATCTTTCCTTCAAACGCGGAACACACACCTGGAATGCGAATTCGATTTGCAGAAAAAAAAAGGTAAAATAATTATGATATATAGCTGATTATTTTTTTTTTTTAACTAGAAAGATGTCCAGAGACATTTGTTTTTGCCGACGCTTCAAAATTTGGCGAACCTGCGACACAGCATTATCATTAAACAAATTTGCAGCGCGCATAGCCATTTCTTTATTGGGGTGATGCTTCTCGATGTAAGATGCAACAGTTTCCCATGATTTCAACACTTCTCTTATTTTGCCAGAAGATTTTTGCTTTTTTGTTACCTCCACCTCCTTCTCTGACAAACTTTCCTCCAAAACTTCTTGCTGTGAAACACAATGCAACCCCATAAGCTCTTCAGTGGTCAGCTCTTGGCTGGGCTCTTCCACAAGCTCAATGTTATCCGCCTCCAGTCCCATGATAGTGGCCAAAGACACAATCTCTTTGACTAAATGTTCCACAGATACCATCTAGAAACCCTCAAAGTCACATTCTTTAACGCTGTCCGGGCAAAGCTTCTTCCAGCCAGAAGTTGGGGTTCTCTTGGTAAACCCTTCCCACGACTTGCCGATCATCCTGAGGCAGGCAACGATGTGGAAGTGATTTTTTTAAAAATCTCTGAGAGTGAAGTTGATCCCTCCAGTTACCTGAACAAAATGCTCGAAGAGTGCTTTAGTGTAGAGCTTCTGAAAGTTAAAAATGACTTGCTGGTCCATGGGCTGGAGTAACGGAGTTTTTTGGGAGGCAGAAATTGGATCCTGATGAACTTAGATTCTTCAGAATGTAATCTTGTAGGCCTGGAGGATTCATGTACATATATCACAATATAACACAATTTTGAGAAAATGTGTGATCACAAGCGACACTACGATGCTACTGGAAAGAGTGCTAAACACAGACTGATTAAACATGCGCACAATCCGGGACTTTCCCCCTTCCTCGGCACTTGTTATGCGAAACGTCGCTCGTTAAGCAAGTCATTTTTTTACAATTTGTTTTGCTAGTTTTGCGTATTACTCGTTATGAGAGGTATTCATTAAGCGAGGTTCTACTGTATTGCCCTATATAGCCCTTTGGCCTGACGGCGTGGAAAATGGACCTTTACCTAATTTTTTTACAGTGTTAGTGTTGTGTTCAACGCTGTCAGCGGTTGAACAGCAACAAATAATAGAGACAAAACAGATAATGAGATTGTGTGTGGGGGGGGGGGGAGGGAGGGGGGGGGCTTACCTACTTGGCTTTAACCACAGACATTACAGAAAGATAAGTGAAATAGTTTAGTGACTTTAAAAAAGATATCACACTAATAAAATCATACTGGAGAGAAATGTTAAAGACAAGGCGAGCAAGAGGTAGAAAACTTTACAAGTGGGAGCATAATCTGAAAACGGAAAAAAAAAAATGGCTGTGCAGTCTCTAAGAGTTTACAAGGAAAACGAGATTCACTGTGTTCTGTAAGATCACGACAACCAACTTTGATAGTGGAGAGGACGAGGTGAAGACCAAGAAAGAGATGGATAGATGATGTCACTAAATCCTGCAGAAATGGAAGAACAAATCCAGTCCCCAAGCCATACGAAAACCGCAAAACAAATTCAGAAAACCACAACACCTGGTATCAGCGAGGGCCACTTCAATAATTGATTATGTCGCACTTATCAACCTATTCCTAAGCAAAGAAACGCCTCCTTACTTATGATACTTTTTACCTTATTCCAGGCCGAAATCTTGCACTGAAGCAGAAAACAAACCAATCATCCGATTTTGTTTTCTACTCAAAAAAATGTGCTTCAGAACGAGCCGTTGATGGCATCACAAGTGGATATTTCACGAGAGACAGATCCTGCTCCCATACGGCCCATGACATATCAACAGTCCAGCCTACTGGACAATGACGATTGAGAATCCCGTACACGTTAGCCGATATGTCATATATAACAGAAATGATGGTATGTATGTGGTTTGTCAATATGTCATCTATAATATAGATGCGTGAATGTGTAAATATGTGGTTTGTCGATTTCGTCTATAACATAAATGATAGCGAATGAACGGCATGGCAGTGTCATATATTTAGAGATTTTGGTAATTTATGTGGTTTGTCGATGTGTCATCTAAACAAGAGATAAGGAAAAGTAAATGTGATTTGTCACTATGTCATTTATATCAGAGATAAGGATAAGTATGGGTTTGTTGTTTTGTCGTCTATATCAGAGCTATGGTCTAAGGATATGTCATCTGTTGCAGAGATACTGGCAAGTATATGATTTTTTGTTTTATCATCTATAACGGAGATGATGGTAATTATATGGTTTGTCGAGGTGGCATGTTTAGCAGAGACGATGGTAAGTATGTGGTTTCTCGATGTGGCATCTTTAAAAGAGACAATGGATAGTATGTGGTTTGTCGATGTGGCATCTTTAGCAGAGATGATGGAAAGTATGTGGTTTGTTAATATATCCTCTATAACATAGACGAAGGTAAGTATGTGGTTGGTCAATACGTAGTCTATAATACATATAGTAAGTATTTAGGTTGAGATTTGTTATTTATAATAAAGATTATGTTAACTCTGGGTTTGTCTGTGTCGCATACATAGTTTAGATGAGGGCGTAATATCATTTCCCGATATGGCATCTATGAGAGTGGTGAGGGTAAGTATATTGAGTCCTATAGGTCATCAAGAGTATAGATGAGGGTAAGTATTGTCTTATCGATTTGGTATCTATAATAGAGATAGAGGTATGTATGTGGTTTATCGATATGTCATCTATAACACAGATAAGGGTAAGTATGGGGCCTGCCAGTGTGGCATCACTGATAGAGATAACGGTAAGTGTGTGGCTTGTCTATATATAACAGTAAGTATGTGTCAATATGTCATCTATATGAGAGATGAGGGTAAGTGTAGTTGTCGATTTGTCAACTAAGTCACTCTGTCAGTTGGTATATATAAATGCACTGGTTTGCTGGTATTTTGTTTATTTACATCGCGATCAATTCCCGCGTCATTCGAGAATCTCAGTGGGGCACATTATAGGGAAAAGAAGAATACACGGAGACTGACTCCCTAACAAGCATGTCGTAAGAGTTTTTTTTTTACTAGGGGTTTCCTTCGTAGTCGGAGTGCATCTGCCTGGGATAAAAAGATCCAACAGCACATATAAGCCAGAACTGATATAGGGATGGGTACTCTACACTGAAGTTCTCGAACAAGACTATAATCTAGAAGTGGACAAACCGCCATTACTTTCTGTCGGAGTTGACAGCTGGTGAAAGCAAAGACAAAAGACAGAAGACGAAGATCTGAGGATATAATTCCTAGTTATATTTATAATCTTTGAGTTGCTGCCGAAAAGTGACATTTAATTCCACATGTAGTTGATTGGAAAGTTTTAGTAGTACATTTTTCTTTTTCTCCCTTCTATTCCCCGGTAGAGCATAGACCCTCAGATAACTCACGCAAGTCGTTTTTTTTTCACTAATTCAAGAAGCTCACCCAATCTTCTCCCGATCATTTTACCTAGACTCTCTAGCCCCGTCATGCTTTTTTTAGAAGAGCCTTTCCTCATCTTCTGTGGCTTAATTTTTCTTGTTTCTTTTTCTGGTCTTTCTTGTCATGGTTAAATATATATGTGGCTATTTTAACCTGATATCTAACGGCGAATTCAACAAAGTTGCCTACGTTCCATCTATCCTATACTTGTTCAAGGCTCACGGTAGACCTGAACAAATTCGGGCTGAGGCTAGTTATGGTATCGAGCGCCAGCTTATACTAATAGATCATGTCGTGCGGTGTGAGTGGCAAATAGAGGATCAACACATGTACAAGCTCGAGAGGTTCAGTTATCTAAAGGCTAGTCTGAGGAGACGCGCCTTGCGTTGGTTTAGACAGTGGTGTCAAGAAAGCCGACCGTCCAGAGAGCAATGTCAACCTTCTTCTTCTTCTTCACTTCCTCTTTTACCGCTGTGGGTGTCGAGGGAGATATAAGGTTCTGTTTCTAGCTCTTCTGGCTGCCTCGACCATAGGCACATCGTGCTGTTGTAGAGTTTCTCTGATGTTATCCTTCCATCTTGTTCTTGGTCTACCCCGTGCTCTACGTCTTTCTTCTCTTTTCATGTATGCTTTGTATGGTATGGTGTCACAAGGCATTCTCTCTAAGTGGGCAAACCATTTCACTTGCTGTCTTTGTATGTAATCTAGAATTATTTCTGTGCCGACTTGTTCTCTTGTGATCTCATTCCTGATCTTATCTCTTATGGTCACTCCTACAGCCCTTCTCA